AGTGTTACGAGTCGGAGGGCGTCTCGGTCGGTCTACACAAGCATTTGAAAGCAAGCATCCGGCTATTATGCCGGCCAAGTCACACGTAACGGATCTCATCATCCAAGACGCGCATCAATCAGTGGGTCATCAAGGCCGTCAGCATGTCCTAGCTTCACTCAGAGAGAAGTTCTGGGTGGTGCGTGCAAACGCAGCTGTTCGGCGGGTCCTGTCCCGCTGTCTCACATGCCGACGACTTCAAGGAAGACCGCTGACGCAAAAGATGGCCGACCTGCCGGTGGATCGCGTTACGCCCGACCGGCCGCCGTTCACGTTCTCGGCGGTAGACCTGTTTGGCCCCCTGCTCGTGAAGAAGGGAAGAAGTATGGTCAAACGGTATGGCGTGCTGTTCACCTGTCTAACGACCCGAGCGGTTCACATTGAAGTGGCTCACACTCTCTCAACGGACTCGTTCATTAATGCCTTGCGCCGATTCGTATCCAGGAGAGGTCAAGCTGAAGAGATACGGTCGGACAATGGAACGAACCTCGTCGGGGCCGAAAGAGAGCTGCGTGAAGAGATAGACAAATGGAACCTGCAGCAGATCCATGAAGCAATGCTTCAGCATCACGTGAAGTGGAAGTTTAACCCACCTGGCGCTTCTCACCATGGTGGAGTATGGGAGCGACAGATTCGCTCTGTCAGGAAGATACTGAGCTCACTACTGCTCAGTCAAGTCGTGGACGAAGAAGGCCTATCGACACTGCTGTGTGAAGTTGAGTCGATTCTCAATAGCCGTCCACTGACACCAGCGTCTGACGATCCACTGGATCTCGACCCTCTGACGCCCAACCATCTTCTTCTCCTTCGAGCCGGTCCTCGCCTACCGCCTGGTGCGTTTAGCGACAGCGACAACTACACCAGAAGAAGATGGCGGCAGGTTCAGCACCTGGCAACAGAGTTCTGGAGAAGATGGAGCCAAGAATATCTGCAGACTCTGCAGCACAGACAGAAGTGGACAAAGGAAGAAAGAAACCTACAAGTCGGAGACTTAGTTATCATCGCAGACAAGAACGCTCCTAGGAGCACATGGAGCATCGGGCGCGTGACACGCGTCTTTCCAGACGCGGGCGGAGCCGTTCGTGCGGCGGACGTGCAGACGAAAAGCACAGTGCTGACGCGTCCGGTGACTAAACTGGTTCTCCTCGCGGAAGCAGGAGAATAACAACTGTCGAAGCGAACACTAAGTGACGCTCGGGCTAACGTGCGCCGACGGGGGCGGGGGTGTAGATGCCGTTTCTATGTCGGCGGCGTTATTCGTGACGGGCACGAGCTACACGAAATAAAATTTTGCTGAAGTAGAAAAGTAGGACGGAAATAATTTTGAACAAGTAAAATAGGTTTAGAACAAAGGTTTTGAAAATAAGTATCGAAACCGCAAGGCAAGGAAGGAAGAAGTTAAGTGATATTTAAGTTTACTTGGTGTAGAATAAGATAAGCCTTTCATGTAGCCGCGGACCAAAAATCGCTTTTGACGGTGGTTGTGGTTGAGAATGTGTGCGTGAAAGAAGAAGAACCTGTGAGAAGACGGTGATAAGAACCGGTGTGAAGTGTGCTATTTTGTGCCTGAGTTTATATTTTATTTTAATACCGAAATATTACGACATCCCGATCAACTTTAGTTTGAAATAAATCAGAGTAAAATCACTCAGCTCAAGCCACCCGTAAAGCATTATCCAGCGCCTACAGACATGACCAACCCCAACTCCAAATTACAGAGACGAAAATTCAAGACCATTAGCGGATGGAAACGAGACAAAGTTGACGGCAAAACAAACGGAATCAGGAAAAGAGACCGGGCGAAAATGCCATAACGAAACGGATAACACAGAAACGAGACGGTAGACATGACACGCAAGAACGGGACGCGATAAGGCCGCATCAGATCACCCGAGCTGAACACAAACGGTACCTGCGCGGCAGGCCAGCCGACTGGGCCCATCCCGGTGGTATGGACGACTGCACGCAAGGTTCAGCGGTGGATCGTCCTATACACCGACCGAGAGTGACGCCGCCCCAGCCGGTCCTGGGAATGTCACTGGAATGCCTGACCCTGATCTATAAAACAATCGCAGGACGTCGGTCGGTGAACCGACAATGTGGGCCATGTCTCTGGGCCGCTCCCTATCGCGCTGAGGTATGGAGGGGACACCTGCTTAGCTCTGCCGTCTATCGCTGATACCTGCCGACCGGGTAGTAATCCATGGATCGGCTCAGGACGACTCCCATTGCGCTAAATAGAGGCGATTATCCGAGACTAATGGAATGATGGATCCTGATGGATCGCAGTCCGATCGCCGCCTCTCCCGTTCCATATATAAATCCTCCGACTGCGGCGATCGAGGGGGCTGCGAATTCATAAACTCGGCCCGCCTTATCGATTGCATCACGGCCCGGCCGTCGTCGGGCTGAGGGCCCGCAGAGAATGGCGGATCGATAGGCGCAACTTGACTGCCTTCCGCGGAGCCGGGCCCTTGACGGTCCCGCGGGCGGCGGGCCGTATTGATTTCGGCGGCACCGCCCGAGGTTTGTGCGGGGCAAGTGGGGACGATCGAGACCGGCTTCGTTGTATGTAGGAGGGGAGAGGGGAGAGGCTGTGTCGCGTGCACGCACTCCGAGCAGTCGGCCGCACGCTACGCGCCACGCGGCCAACAGTGCCGCTGTTTTCTCTCCCGCACAACACTCGACGAGCTGGGGCGAGGAAAGCGACGGCAGAAAAACAATAGGCAAATATGCCAGCCGGATTTGTGAAATGTTTAATCGATGAAACTCGTAAACACATCACGCTCCCAGCACGCGAAACACAAGAAACTACTCCGCATAAATGGAAAAACATCAGCTGTTCGCGTGCATGTCTAATCACATTTTTACATAGCAATAATAACAGCACCCGATTTCGAAGCGCTACTCCGAAGCTTGCATCCATCTCTGTATCGAGCTGTCTAAATTTGAATACAGGCTGTCACAAAATCGCACATAAGAGAAAGCTGGCGGAATTCAGCGATGGTTTTCCACCGTATCTCGCGTCACTCTCAATCACTGGATCGGACATGATGCATTGTGCTGTCAGCGGCACGTCAGCAGTAGCTTTGTCTCGGACGGGATGACCGGAAAGACAGCGAACGGTCGGACAGAAATGGTTGCCTGTCTGTATGCGTGTCGATACGTCCGTACAGCACGTCCCGTCCCTTTAATCATATTCCATATTATCCCATCCCGTCGTCCCTTCCCATCCAATCACGTTTCGTCACGTCCTTAAGGACATAAAACGTGACATCATGCGTTTCGTCCCCACGTGATGGGGCTTCCCCGCTATGGTCATCCCGTTTCATGCCACCCGTCCATCCTGTTGTAGGCCGCCCTATCCCGTTGGTCCACGTCTTGTTCACCGTCTACTCATCTACCAATCCCTTCATCCGTCTATCCATCTATCGGTCTGTCTATCCACCCACCCATCCACCCATCGATCCGTCAGTCGATCCATTCGTGTGCCCGCTAGCTCGTCTGTCCGTCTATTCGCCTGTTCATTTTTCTGTTCATTCATTCGCTCGTCTATCCGTCTGTTCGTCCGCCCCATGCATTGCGTCTGTCTGTTCTCCGGACCTGATTTTGGATCTACTGTGTCGGCTCCGTCACGGGACGGGGCGGGGCCGGTCGGTCGCCGGAGAGAGAGAAAGAGAGAGAGAGAGAGAGAGAGAGAGAGAGAGAGAGAGAGAGAGAGGGGACAGAGCCACACCGGTGACTGCCACAGCCGACATCCCACTGTGAGCTGGGCGGAAATGTGCCACTCATGGGACACCATTCACGGACGGGAAAGGAAAGATAGAGAGAGAGAGAGAGAGAGAGAGAGAGAGAGAGAGAGAGAGAGAGAGAGAGAGAGAGAGAGAGAGAGAGAAAGAGAGCGCTGCGACAGGCGAGCCAACTGCATGTGACAGCGGCTGAAACGCATCATCCCATCACGAGTTCCTTCAGCAGAGGCCCACTCCGCTCTCAGTATCCTCGCCGCTTCATCTGCTGCCGCTGGAAGCGGACTAGCCACAGCCACCGACGGAGAGCGGCTCCGAGCCGTGTTTGTCCGGCTGGAGCCCGGCGACGATCGATGGCTTCACAGAGCGAATATCATTATCGTCGGCACGGGGTGACCGTGTGGCGTCAATAAATTAGCGAGCCGTAACCGGAGAGCACCGGGCTATCGATGGCGGTGGACTGGCGGCCATCACTCATCGGGGGCGCTGATGGAGGACTGAGAGTGACGGCAGACGACCGGAGAAGTGGATACGCGGAAGTAGCCGGGAAGATCAGATTCAGATGAATGGCGCCGAGGCGACTTATCTACATTTGATATGTTGTTTAGACTTGTAAAAAATAAATAAAGATATGGGATAGCCAGCTCACGTGATGTTTTGGAATCAACATCGCGCTAGCTTCGCGAGTCGTGTTGTCGTTGTTTCAGTCTTCGTCGCCTTTTTGCGCTGCCCGTATATTCCCACTCCCAGCCAAGCTGAAGAAGATACACTACGTCCAAAAGCATGGTATGCGAAACTGCATGATGCATCATGTGAGCCCAATAGTTCCAGTTCATCGGTGTGACTCGGGTCGAACAACAGGCAGCAGTCCTTCCGTGACGCCCCTGCTGCCAGCCAACGAGGGACTCACTCGCCCCCGCCCCTCTCCTCCCCACGGCGTACCACACGGCCACAGCCGACATGACAGATAGCCAGACTGATACCGTGCGAAAACAATCACGACAGACAAACGGTGCCGGCAAGACGCCGCGATAATCTCAGCGTCAGTTCCGGCCAGACGCCGCGTTATCAACTCGACTGTACCACGCTAGCGTGAGCGGAAACGATACGGAGCGCCCCACGCCGCGCAACCCGTCCGCTACGTGGTCACGACTGGTCCCCCGGTCACGGCATTCCCCCGTATCCCCCCAGCAGTCCACTGAGACACCCACTCACCTCTGACAGCCTCCTGTAGCGCCGCACACACGCGTCCCGCCCGCCGCCACAACACACAGACCTCACCGCACGACCGGCACGGACGGCGTCGGCGCAGCCACTGGCGGCTGGCGGGCGGCGGCGGCGGCGGCGGCGGCGGAGCCCGGTGGCGGCCGGCCGCTGTCACCCATGGCCAGTCACGTGTGATGCCGGCCCGTCCGTCCGTCCCGCCCGGTCGGTGACATCGAGATGACGTCATAGATGACCGTGTGATGTCAGGAGGTCGGCCGGAAGACGTTTCTACGATGTCTGAATACGCGATCGTCAAAAGGTAGGCATGTGGTTTCCGCCAATAGGTATTGTAAAAGTTCGGTTTAGATAGCTCGAACGTTTTCCAATGGATTGAATCAACGATTATCTACAAACTGATTGCTCAGTGGCGGATCCAGGGGAGGGCAAAATGGGTATTTGCCCTCCCCAAAGCCAAATCGTGTGGGCAAGACTATCTTTTTGCCCCTCCCAAAGCATGTAGCGATGAGCAAATCTAATACGGCGTCGATGCCTATATGGACGAAAAGCAGGACTTTCCGTGACGGCCATTCCGAAGGAAGGAGCTGACCACTGTCTGCTGATATTTTGGGTCGATATGCTGATATTAGATTGAACCCCCTGAACTGAATGTATGCATAAGCATATGCAGTGTGGCCAATGGCCATGGTATGGGATAACACAGGGCAAGATGCCCAGTCGGGTAAGACGCCCACCACCCTATATTCGAAATTACCTGAGCAATTCACAGTTTTGTCATTTGTTGGGAGCCTCATTGCTGTGGAGCGTTCCGCGTAAAAAAACGTTGACGTGCCTAGCCGCCATTTTATGCCTATTTTTTGCATATGTTCTGAAAATGTCAGACCAAGGTCTCTCTAGGTCACGAGACACGAAGTCACTAAGCTGTACGTCAAGTGACATAACCTAAAAACAGTTCCAATGCTTGCCGTAGCTAAACCGAGTGACGGATCGCTTTGAAACTTTCAGCAGTTAATAAGGGTAACAGTACCTATGTAAAAAATGTTAGTCACGTGATTTTTATATCGATGACCTAGGGCTAGGTCATTTTTGCGACCTCTCCACTATAAGTCAATAAGAGAAAATTGAAAGGCACCTTTTTTGGGCAAGCCTCCTGTCCGGTAGCTCAGTTGGTAAAGCAGTGGACTCCCGGTAGTGAGAGCCCGGGTTTGAGTCGCTCCGGCGCTCGATATTTGAGACTCCTGACGGGGATGGTCTGAGGTTGGTGGGAGGCTGGGAGCAGCCGCAGCCATTCAAAGTCAGGAGTGGGACAGCCGGGACAGGCCGTGTCTGGCTTCGAAGGGCACGTAAAACATTGGCATCGTTAAACGTTAAAGGTAGTGTGCCAGCTTTCTTGGACCGTATGGAGTTAATGGCCCAGATAAGGAGAACCGGATTTTTAGAACTTATCCATACCTTCAAAACTCATGGAAACGTCTTAAATTCTTCAAATTTTGAGTACCCCAGTGCGAAATTCGCCCCGACGGGTTGTCGGTCGTACCCCAACCACATTTCACACCACTATGAACAATAAATGCACACACTGAAATCGCTATTACCGATATGCTCATCCAATCAAGTTTCGATAAACCCGTTCATCATCATCTCCTGCGGTTTCGAACACGCCTGTTAGGTGGCTTCTGATGCTCGTCGAGGTCGGAATTTCCAAATACGCGTGGTGCGTCGGGCCGCGCGCTCTGACTTCCGCCAAGAAAAATGCGTCAGCTGATCATTGTCATTTCTGCCACTTGCGTGTGGTGAAATGGGGTCATAACTTATAAGACGGCTTTTTCATATCAATTATTTTACATAAAATCATATTTCAAACCATAAATAATGTTCGACAGCCAAATAAAAGAAACAATACCAATACGGGCTTACAGTTTAAGGCTCGACATTGTGTTGTCTACGATTAGACAGCTGATAACTCATTCCCGTACGTCGTATGGTCGTAACGGGTGACATTCATAAGTACCAGAGTACCATTGTACCCACGTTACACCGGGACCAAGGTTACACAGGGGCCCAGGTTACGTTCGGCCCCAGGATTTGAAGGGACCATGAAGACGCAAGTACCATACTGTGATTGGTCGTTGGCAGACGGGAATGACGTAATGCATCCATGTGGCGGCCGTGACGTTGACCAATAGGAGGGGCGGATACAAATTTGGACCGCCTTGGTACACTACTTGGCAGTGTGCTTGGGATTGATTTTCTCGAGATTGAATTGAGGTAGTGCCGTCCATCGCCCGCCGCGGCGACGCCCAGGCCCGAGGGTCATCCGGCGCGGCGGGAGGTAGCGTCCCTCGGACCCCCCCCCCCCCCCGCGCGGCGGTATAGCGTACTGCGGCGTCCAGGAGAAGTGAAAATGACCCCTTGCACGAATTAGTGTTCGCAGCAGCTAACTTAAATTGCAGGAGGGGGAGGAGGCAGTGGCGTAGCCACGGATTTTTTAGTGTGTGTGGGGGGGGGGGGGTCGGGTTTCCGGTCTTCGTCTTGATGGGTAGAGGTGTTTTAGCCACACTCCGACTCCCGGTTTTTTTTTCATGTGTTGAGAAAAACCTCGGCGCGCAGTGCCACGAAAGCAGCGGTATATCTTATTGTACATCACTTTTGCATCGTGCATAAAAATCAAGCGCAGGCCACCTGAGGTCAGGTCACAATGTCATGTTCAGTTCAGTTCAGCCTCTAAAAGCTACAATCTTGCCATTCCTATAGATTATCTCCATAAGTCTGAAATTTGGTGCAATGAATGGGATTATAAGTGCCAACAGTTCATGAATCTGGGATTTTACATCTGAAAAGTGAAGTCAGGTCAAATATGTGACCTCACCAATCATGATAAGATATGGGAAAATGCACGAATGCCCTCTGCTTTGAACGAATATGCTAAAAACGCTATAAGATACTTCTGTAGCACTTCTTATGTGATTGACCTTTACCTGATGTCAAGTTTTCTAGTTAAGTTCTTAAGTTCAAATTGTAAGCCATGCGACGTGTTTCGACGAAACAAACACGATGGTGAAACCTAACATGAATATCATACACATTCACTGAATTATAGGTTGTTACAGAACAAATGTTTCGGCAAATTCCGTCCGTTTAACTGTTTGGCCTCTGTTTAACTGTTTGGCCATAGACCCGAAGTTATATCTGAGGCGAAGTTGGCGAAAGAGCTTTAAAAAAAGCTATCGAGTAAGCTTTCTGTGTCGCTTTAGCTCTTATTCGTGTTTTACGGGTCGCCATAGGCGGCGGAACGGGGAGGGCACCGGGGCACCGTGCCCCCCTTTGATTTTGGTATTTTAGCATTAGCCCTATGGGCGTTGCATGGAAAGAATGGGACCAAAAGTCGGCAGTGCCCCCCCCCCCTTAATTGAAGGTGTTCCGCCGCTACTGCGGGTCGCTAAGGTAAAATGTTTACCAACGTAACGCTAAAGGTATGCTTTCGGCCCCTGATCGAGGTAGAGCTTCGCGGAAAAGCGAGGGTGCTGCCCGTGATGAGAGAAAGCCGATGATGCCCAATTTCAAGGTCTTGGCCGAGTCATCTTAGGTCAACGCCCAAAAGTAGAAAAAAGCTGACCTGCTAGAACTTTGTGAGCCGTAGCTGTTATCGGGGTTCCGGGTACGAGTTCGATGTTAGTTTTGGACAAAGCTGATGACTCCATGCATTTGGGGTAGATCGGGTCGGGTCAGGTCAGGTCGACCAGCAGGCTTCCTGCCGGCCATCTAGAGTCGGTGACAACCACCAACGAGAGCTTCGTAACATGTTACTACATTACCACCATTTATCAAAATTACTTTTAAGTTCAAACGGGCGCTAAACTCAAAATCAGTTCCAAAAACTTCACTTGTAAGTGGAAGCAAATAAAACTAAAAAAAGTGAACCAAGGTCAGCTATATTCGAATCAGGGCCAATAAATTTTTAGAGTAGGTGTAAAATTGATTAACTCGAGGTCACAGGAAGTTTCGTTGCAATAGGCTCCTTTTTGCGCGTCTTATTGGGAAAGCCCGAGAGGGTCCACCATCTGACCCCATTTCCCCTAGCTACAGGCAGGTCCGAGGGTAGTCAGGGCTGAGGCTAGTTAGGTACCTCGTAGTTACTGATATGTCATCCGACGAATCGACTGTAACCATTATTTTGACAATCAGACGAACGCCTGGGTCAGTTTTGGCGCGCTCATTCGTTTGAGGGATAAAAAGGGACTAGAATAGTGGCTATATACTTTAACCCTCGCCCGGCGAGGGGGTTTGATGCAACCCCCTAAGGTTTTTCGCAAATAACGTAAAAACGGCGGCGCTACGCCAAATTTGGCATACCTTCTGGCCTGGGGCAACCTTTTCGCACCTATCCTGAAAATTTAAAGTCCCAGTCTTTTCAGGTCAGGTCACCAGGTCACAAAAGCCGGTACAAGTTCAGGGGAAAATTGGACTAGCTTAGCGGCAACTGAATTCCAGAGTTCACTTAAAATGGTAACAAAGTATATCATTCGATGCGCACGGACGTTCTGAGTTCACTGGTGCTTTTATTTTTGCTCTATCTTTACTAGGTAAAAAGTTATAACCGAAAAACGTTTGACATGTTTAAGCAAAATTGTTGCGTTCATACCCCCCAAAACCCCCTAAATATTGACTTAAAGTCACCAAACTTTTACAGGGGCGAGATCTCCTACACACAGAAAAATAATTACCCCTCTATGGGATTTTTTTACATATGAGGAGTACCAGTACCCTTATTTCTCAGGTATGAAAACCTGAATAGGAATAGTTACACACCGTTTATTTAGGGTTCCCGTACACCAATGGTTCTTTTTACACACATACTAGTAAATGTACCTTCAAGGTTCACAGTACCCTGCAAATTCGGGGTATCATTAACAAACAGAGTGGTATCTTTACCCGAAAAATCAGAATCGGTCGTGATAGAGCTACTCTGGCAGCATGTTTTTTTACTACTTGTCACTGAAAAGCAGGTACCTGTAACATGCATCAACTCATAAGGGTGTATAAGTACTTAAATGCGGTTTTCTGACTACTTATTTTTAGGTAGTTAC